TCTATCTGCGGCTCGTTCTCGTCGTATTTCCATTCCCACTGGGCGAAACGGCTCCGTGCCGCGGCGCCAGGACATATGCAACTCGGGGTTGGCGAAGTCAGCTTGCGCTTTCTTTCAGGCGGCTTGCGACCCAATGCTTTAAGCATAAAGATTGGCGTCACATTGCTTTTTGACCGAACCCCAATCGAGGCACCACGTTCGATGAGGTAGTCGGCCACTTCCAGGTGAGCCTTCTCGATTGCGAAAAACAGAGCCGTCTTCCTGGCATTATCTCTGTAGTTAATCTCAAAGCCAAGATTAAGCAGAAATTTCACAACCGCCATGTTGCCGCGCGCTGCGGCCCAGAAGAGAGGTGTCTGTCCGTGGACATCCTCCTCCTCCAAATCCACACCCATGGCCACGCATTGTTTGGCCAAGAGTTCAGAACCTCTACGCCGTCGTGCCGCGATAAAAAACAGAAAGTTTTGCCGCAGAGCCGAATGTCGCCAGGTCATGTCTGCTGTTGACAATACCTTCTTGGCCTCTGCAAATTCGCCGTCTCGCACAATCTCGAACTGCCGGTCTCGGTTAACATTTGACACTTCGGCTTGTTCCGTCATTGCGGCGAATCGCACCTCTTGGCTAATAATGCTGGGCCAATTTTGAGCCCGAGAATCTTGCGAAGAAGACCAGGTGAGTAGAGACATGGGCCAGAAGAATATGCAGCATGCCATCTGCCTAAACCTGACTACTCAGAAAAAGCAGAAGCATCACTGTCAAGCCCTGTCAAGCCCCACTAACCCTCAAAGGCTAGGACTAGGCACCCGGCTCATCGTCCAGTGCCCCGGCACGAAGACCTGCGAACTTGCAGCTGAAGTCCCGAGCCCTTACAGTCTCAGCAAGCGGCCACTCTTAGACTTCCATGATACAGTCTCTACAGCATCATCACAATCTAAAGTGGTACATGGATGGGCTTAAAGCTTGGACTTCATAGTTCTATGATAACGGCAACAAAGGGAAGCTTGCGACTCTCAAGATCTCTGGCAATCTTACGTTCCTCTTTGCTTGGGTTCCTGACCCCGGGAGAGGTCGTCGGCCTTTTCGGATGCACAGACAACACACACAGCCACAGCCGCCCCCACACACTCCTTCAGCCCGAAGCCCAAAACCGGGCCCCTTGATTGAAGGGAGATAAGGCCTGATCCTCTGCGCTGCGGGGTTTGATCTCAAGGGCGAAGTTTACATGGAGCTGCATTGGGAACTCCCAGTCGATAAGACCCTTAACTCAAAACTCGAAAGACCCGATGCCCTCGGCGAACCTTGGTGGGGCCCAGGAGCAGAAAACCAGATCGAGGGAGAAAGGGCACTGCATCTACCGATACCCCAACAGCAGCTTAGGAAATACTCCAAAATCTCTGTCCAGCCAAGCCCAAACTCCCAAACCCTTCAGGGTGTTTGGACTCGGGGTGTGCCCAACCCGATCCCCTCATTGTTGCATCTTACACCCTAAAACAAAAACCCTAATATGGTACCCTAGATGATAGGATCCATATAAACCATAGACTTCTCGCGATCTGGCGAAGCCTTGACACTCGGCCTCGCCTGCATCCTTGGCGCACATGTGCTTTCGCGGAGTCTTTGCAAGAGCCGCGACAAGAACGAATGAAAATAGACTCTGAAACTTCAGGCCTGTATCCTGAATGTCCGGTTTCGCGTTGGGCGAGGCCTATCGAGCATGAACTGCTACCTTCCATATTTTATAGACATATCCATGCGACTTAATTGTTAAAACATGTGTTCTTGTTCAAGAGACAAGAGGGTAGAGAGAGAGAGAGAGAGAGCGACAGAGACATGGGACAGCTAGCGCGACTTTGCTGCAAATCTGACACACAAACTTCTTGTCTGGAGTCTGGCTCGTACCCGACCGGAGTGCATAAATCCCCTAAATCCCCTGTAGACTACACCTCCTCTTTCCCTGGGCCTTCTACACCCAAAGTCGCATCAGAGGCCAAGGTGCTTTGGTAGGAGAGGCCCAAAACCTGCACAGACGCACGCAGGCACACAAACCCGCGGCCATTCAGGGTTTAGGGTTTAGGGTTGAGGGTTTAGGGGCCTAAGTTTCTGTCTTTTTGGGCTACCTGCTTTTGATCCTCGCAACAGCAACGCAAGATTTAATGTTGGAAGAGAGACCGAACCGATTCTGAACCCGAGCCTCTCCATCCGGAGTTGCGACAGCTCGCCACCCGCGATTCCTGCAGAGCCATTGGTTTTTCAGATCCTATGCGCAAAAGAATGCTGCGGCTGGTGCGGCTGCTGCTTCATGAACGGACTATAGGGACAGCTATTTACTGGAGATTGCATATAATAATTCGGCAAAGGGAAACTTAGCCCAGGTCAGGTCGGTTCGCATCCTAATTCTGCGGATCATCAATGTCGCTTAATTCCGGGTAGCTTTCGGGCCAGTAACAAGGATTGGATTATAAGCTGTCCTGGTAGCTGCTCTTATAGCACTTAATTGACTTCCGCTTCTGATGATACAGGCTTTATCCTTCACAGGCACATTCGCCAAAGCAGCAGCCCTCAAGGGAGGGGACTCCAAAAAGCAAAATCGAGTCACCGACTCGCTCGCAAAAAAAGCTTCGTCCAGCCGTGGAAAATCTCTGTTCGGATGGGGCCCTTGAGGCTCCGGGAGCTGTCCAGCTAAACGCAGTGCGAAGGCTAAAGGTTGAGATGTCATGCTGAAGGGGAGAATCGCGGCGAGCACTCACACTTGAAGTAATCTTCACGGTAATATCACCGATATTATTGTTCATGATCGTGCAAGCTCTTCCTCAACTGGCTCGCATCCGACTCGGAGCTTTTCTTGAATTACGTGAGGTTTAGCAGTTACTACTGTCCTTGCTAAAAAGCTCCTAAAGTGTAATCATGGGCTCGGCATGCAAACAAAACGATCCCCCATAGAAGGCCTCCTGCGTGCACGCTCTTCTCCGCAGCTTCCTCGGCACGAGCAGCCAGACCGCACGCAACCAACCAAGGACCCTACAGCTACAGCTCCTTATGGCATCGTGTAGGCCTGCTGCGGCAACCGGGACGGTCCCGTCCAAAAGCTTGGGCGGTCGGGCTTAACGCTTTTTACTTGCAGAGTTATAAAAGTCACAGGAGCCGCAACGCCGCAATGCGAGGGGCCCTTGCAAACACGGCTCCTCCAAACCCCCAAATGTCAAAAACTCCAAAGCCAAAGCCCGGGAAGGCTTCGACAGGGACCCCTTCTAATCAACAGGAAGACAATCACAGATTCCGCTGCCAAAAGGCTCGTGTGAAGTCGTTGGAGGGCTTCCTCAACCTGAGTCGATGTGGCTTGCGCAAGAGATTAAGTCGGAGCCACACACACAGAGACATATACATATACCTATATACCTAAATACCTACATATATACATATAAATACAGTTATGCATATATGCATGTATGAACTATGTATGTCTGTGTATATACATGAATGTGTATGTATGTATGTATGTATGTATGTATGTATGTTATACATATATAGACTATTATATAGATGTGTACATATAGACACATACATACATACATACATACATACATACATACATATACACATACATACATATAGATATGTATATTATTTATATATATATATATAGGGAACAAACAGCTTGCTCACTTCGGTGACTCCAAGGATCCAGAGTTAAGCTGCATGACGGCAGGCAAGCGTCTTCGCAACCGTGAACATGGCACTTGCAACAGCCAGCCGAGGCATGTGCCAGCATACTCTGCAAACTAGCTTCATATGATCCTGCTCGGGGGGCTATCCGTAAAACTACATGAAGCAGTCATGAAGCATCAGAAAATCGTGCCTATCTTGGGGCAGATTACAAAGACCGACAACGGCAAGATCACGTAGACAAACGATTCTCCTCTCCCAATGTTCCTCCGTGACTGAGATTACTATTACTGGGTTCCGCGCTCGGATGCACATGCATCCCGGCGGCTATCCTGTGCGCCTGCCCAGACGGTTCCTTTCTCCTGAAGCCGCACGCTTAGCCCCTATAAACCCTCCAAACCATGCAGGGCCCAAAGTTCCGGCTTGTGTTCCGTCCCGCTTGAACCTCACCACCGCTTGGGTTTTACTGTATACCCTCTGGGTTTACGGCTGAAGGCAGCAAAAGCCGGCTTGTACGGCACACAGCTTACATGCAGACGTCCCGGCAACTCCAGAAACAAACCAGAAACCTCAACCCTAAACCCACCCTCCAGGCCTTTTTGCGACAGCGGTGCCCTGGCAAAGGGGCTCTCTCGTGCTTCTCGCCTGGCTCCAACAGCTCACCGTCCCCAACCCTCTAGCGCTTGTAGGCTCAGTGTTGTCTGGGCTTTGGGGAGCCACAGCTACTTCTGCGGAAGTCTACTGCTTGCTGCAAACATCAATGTGTGTGCATGCTCCTGTGCGCACACTAACTGCGGTGTACTGCACGCTGTCTCAGATCAATTGCCTCCATGAGCCGAACAGCAACTCTTCCCTTGGAGTCTTGCTACTGCCGCCATTGTTGCTATTACGACTCTTTCGAACACCGGCTACGACTACGACCCTTAGTGTTGTGTCTATCATTCTGCCGTACTAATCCTCCGTACTACTGCCAAGCTGCTGCCACTGCCACGATCTTCCTTTCTTAAAGGAAACTACTGACTACAGAAGCCTTTCCGTGATGCCACTCTAGACTCTAAACCCTAGACCTCTCTGCTACCGATGCATCCGAGGAGCAGGTTCCACCCAGGTCCGGCATCCCAGCGTCCTTCGGATCCACTAAGAATGATTAAGAATGGGAGTTGCTCTGCAAAAGGCAGTAGTCGTCGTCGCCGTCCCCGGTATAATAGTGGTAATATGGTGGTCGTGGTATAATGGTATAGTGGTGCTAGTGGAAATAGTTGCAGGAAGAAGAGGAGGAAGAGGAGGCCCAGGAATGGCCTGAGCTTTTACGTCCCCATTATCATCTCCATGCGGGCACCTTTCCGATTTCAGGCTTAAGGGCTGGGGACGAGGAGATGCGCATCATCAGGGACCATGTTCAGATCCCTTACGGGTTAAGTTGGGGTGCTTCAGTAGATACTAGATTACCTGAATCAAGGCTCAAACCTCGACAGGGTGGAAGACCCTCTCAAGTCCAACCCCATGGACGCAAAGCTTGATTCATACGCCTGTTCGCTTCCCTCACTAGATGCATCGATTCCGAGTGAAACATCCTTGTATGCTTGTAGATTGGCATATTTTCCTCATGGGAAGGCTGCGATCAATGCGGTGACTGGTCTGATTATGAAGGAAAACCGCCGACCAAAAACAAAGCACATCATAGCACCGCTCCATGCTATAAAGCTGATTTCAACTCGAAGCCCGAATGTCCCACAAGTTACCCCAACCCCTCCCACCCTAAACCACCTGAAACCCCTAACAGTCCCTGCGTCCATGACTGTCTGGTTCTTAGTAGGGAATGGGGGAATGGGTTATTGGGACTACTATAGGGGACCTTCGGACTATCATAGGGATCCATTCCCCCATTCCCTACTAAGAACCAGACAGATGAGCCCCGGCCTGGACCGAAGCCTCT